ATTTTCCCGCAGCAAAACTGACTTGGAAGACGTTTGTTTCAGTGATGAAGCTCATTTCCACCTGGAAGGTTATGTAAACCGTCAAAATTGTCGGTACTGGGCTTCAGCCAACCCAAATCGAAAGCATGAAAAGATGTAACATAATCCTTAAAATAACTGTTATGGTGTGCAATGTCTGCAAAATAAATTATAGTTTCATGATAATCGTGGCACTACTGTTACAGTGCCGAGTGAGCGCTATACAGCTATGATAATCTTTGGGGTGTAATAATTTCCCAGTATCTTTTATGCATGAGTGAGGCTATACAGCTAGATAAACTCCTTCACACGGGGTAATAATTATCCCAAGTAAAATCTCAATTATTTGACAAATTTGTTCTACTAACGTGCAGTGCCGAGTGAGCGCTCCTTTAAACTACTCTGTGAGACTCGCTATGATAAACTCCTTTTTCATGCCGGAACTTACACGGGGTGTCAATAATTATCCACAAGTAACAAATCTCAATTATTTGACAAACTTGTCGTTTTATAGAACCGTACTAACTAACTGTTGCAGTGCCGAGTGAGCGCTATACAGCTATGATAAACTCCTTTGTCATGCCGGAACTTACACGGGGTGTCAATAATTATCCACAAGTAACAAATCTCAATTATTTGACAAACTTGTCGTTTCATAGAACCGCTAGTAATCAGGAAATAAAATTAGCTTAAACAAAATTATTTTATCCTCTTCTTATTTTTGGATTGTTCTTACGTTAAAGTATGATTAATCATACTCTGCTAATATAATCTAAATCATGGCACAAGTAAAAGTTGAGAATAAATGTTTCATTTCAGTCTTCAACAACTTTAAAAAAATTTTGTGTTCTATGAATTAATAATGTTAATTACAATTTCGTTATAAACTTAAGAATAAAATGTCACGAGATAAATAACACACATATACATAGACGTTAATAATAAACAAGAAATATTACAAAATTCGATCCAGTCTTAATGCCAAAAAAAAAAATAAAAAAAATATCGTCAAGTTAAGGTGTACATGTCAACAGTTATCAAGTCAAGATTATATGTAATATCATTTTGGTCTATAACAATAAAATTCATCTAGAGAATAAAATAATTTTGAATAAGCCATTGCTTATATGTTTATTGAAAAAAGTTAAATGGCAATTTTCGAATATCATTCGGGATTTTATTATATACTTTTATACACATATTGGGACAACTCTTCTGATAAAAGACAGTTTTACATTTTCTAAAATTTAGTCTTCTTACATCTCTATGCGGAAATGTTTTATCTGTATAATTATCAATATATCTTTGAAATAAATGTGGATATTTCTTTACAAATGTTCCAATTTCATACACGTTTATGCAATAAAGTGTCATAAGTTTTAACTGTTTAAAAAGTGGTACAAGAATCAAAAGGTCCACATCCACAAATCGCCCGTACACATTTCTTTTGAATGAGGAATGCTCTATTAAAAACCGTTGAATTGCCCCAGATCAGTAAACCATAGCGTAGCACGTCCGCTACATATCCCTGATAAGCTGTTATAGCAGCTTCTTTGCTTTTTAAATTGGATAGTCTTTATCTAATTTAGCACACATTAAGCTTATATGACTTTTCCAACTACAGTGCTGGTCTAAAATAAGGCCGCGGAATACAATTTCAGCAACCTTTTCAATTTCTTGATTATGACTCACGACTTTTATTTTAGGGATATTTGCCCGGTCAGTGCAGAATGTAATATTGAAATAATACTAGTTTTTACGGAATTTATCGCGTATATTTAACTTTTTAATACCCGACGTTTCGAGAGCTTTACAGCACTCATGGTCACGGGAAGGACTGAGATGTTCAACGTCCAGATGTCATAGTTAACCGCGGTTACCATAGATTAAAATTTTACTTTTGTTCCGATCTACGCAGTATGAACTTATGGTATCATGAAGTCTTGCAGTTGTATGCTTGGTTTGGGATTTAATTTTATTTATTATAGGATCCCAAGCAGATGGTAGCACCCAGCCATCTTCTCTATTGAAATTAGGATGTTTTTTGATTTCAATAGCCTCGCGAATCATCCTTGGAAGGAATCGGTGTTCTTTAGCGAGGATTTGTGGTCTATCAAATCTGATGTAGTGACGGGGGCGATCCTGTACGTGTTCACAGACTGCAGACTTCCCGGAGCGTCGATTCTTCACATCAGCTATATGTTCTTTAACGCGGGTTTTAATTGATCTTTTAGTTTGTCCTATGTAGGAGAGACCACATTCACAATCAAGCTTGTACACTCCTGCATCTTGCAGAGGGACGTTACATTGATGATTAAAAACTGACCAATCTTCTTCGGCGGCTTGAAGTATGTTTTGATGGAAGCGCGCTTCAAGATTTAGCCAGTCTTGTCGGTGACTCCTCTAACATATGTCAGTACAGCAGGTACACGCTCGACTGTGGCCGGCTTCACTCGTTCTCTGTGACGTAGGCGCGGGACCCGAAGCTTGTTGTCGTGCAAAACTTGCTTGACGTGGTGCAGCTCGGCAGCCAGGTGTTTACTGTCACAGATCCCTCGTGCTCTCTGAAACAAAGATTTACCCACGGTAGCTAACTGTGAAGGATGGTGGTGAGAATCACCGTTTAAATATCTATCTGTATGGGTCCTTTTTTCTATACACAGTGTGGCTCAAGGTGTTATCAGGATTCCGAATTACTAACACATCTAGAAAAGCTAAGGAATTGTTTGCCTCTAACTCCATTGTGAACTGAATTTTAGATTTTATACAGTTAAGATGGTCTAAAAATGCAGTTACTTTATCTAAAGGTAGAATTGTGAAAGTGTCGTCTACGTACCGCTTGTAGAATCTTGGATTTGTGGGAGAAGTAAGCAGGGCTTTCTCCTCAAAGTCTTCCATGAATATGCCGGCGACAATGGGAGATACAGGTGAGCCCATCGCCACACCATCTGCCTTGCTTGTAGAACTCCTCCTTCTACAATAGGTAGCCAGATGTAAGGCAGTGTCTGAGTAATACTGCATATTCTACGGGCATGTTGTTTTCTTCCAGCCTTCTAGTTACAATTGAGATGCAGTCTTCAACAGGTAAGCATGTAAACAATGACTGCACATCAAAACTGACCAACTGACCACTTAAGCTTTTTTCAGTGATGGATTGAACCGATCGGGCATATATTATGAATGTCTGCGAAACAAGTATTATATATGTATCGATAAAAGATTGTTACAATTTTGGAGAGTTACATTTAAACAATTTAAACCAAAAATAAAATTGAAGATACTTCATTGACTCCTTTTTTCCCGTCAATTTCAGATTATGTCTAACAAAACTCATTTCTTGTGCCTGATTCAAAAAAGTTAAATTGTACGCTGCTAATTTGCGGCTGTAATAAAGTATCCATATTTTCGCCGTGGTGCGTATTCAAGACTTTTTGTAGGTCAAAGGATGTACATAAATTAGTATCATCCTTGTTATGACTTTCTTGATAGGCTTTAAATCTTTCAGTTGTTTCTTCTTTGTCCTTCAAATGTTTCCGTTTAATTCTCGTTAATGTTTCTGATATTGTCAAAGTGTGTACATTTCAAACACTTGTCTTTTCGGAGGAAATGAAATCCTATGTTAAACTCAATAGTGAAAATTTTTAAACACCTTTTCTCCTACGTACTGTAAGTCATTTTTCTCTTGATTCTCTTTGTAAATTCGAAATAACAGCACTTGACTTAAGAATATTCAACACAGTGCCATCAGGAAGTCACCAACCGCCCGCTAGGCAAAAAACCAGCACGTCTTTAAAGATGTGACTTAATTTACTTACGTGACGTAGGAATATTCAATAGTATCATAGACTCGTATATCAGTTTACCCATAGTTTGTTATATTTCTGAATGCAGTAGTGTGAGGGTAGTGCTGGTAAATGCTGTACATATTTTCGTAAATTTTCGGTGACTGGGTCTGGGGTTTTGTTGCTGAGCACATGTTGCCTCTCATATCTTCACTTGTAGAGCCTTAAAGAGAGTTTGCAACTATATTGTATAATTTTGACTCACTGGTCGTTGGCCTTCGCCGTCGTTAATGAAGTAAACTGTCACACTATTTCCGATCAATTTGTACGCAGTAGCGGCAGCAAAAATACACGTTCTTTCACTAAAGCTTTCTCGAGCCAACTGACTTACCCGACTGCGTAGAACCTGCGTGGGCGCCTTCATGAACAATTTCGTACTATCAAGTCGATACTTATACAGCAATAATAATAATTTTACTTATGAGGTGGTAGTATAGTAGTCCAAGTAGGACAGAATGTATGAAATACTTTTGTGACTTACTTTTGTGGCAGAAATTTTACTGCAAAGCAAAGTTGCTGATAACCCGCAAAATACTGTATAAACAGGCAGGCTAAATTACTGAAACGCCATTCATTCGATAAAAAAATAAGTCATTTTTATCCGCCATGCCTCACTCGAATTTACGTAAATCAAAATTACTTAAACCAAGTTATTATTAAATCCCAAGAAGGGCACAACTACTAAAACAACATTCTTTTCCTGACAACAGAAAGTAAAATTTACTCTGATAGAAATTTGTTTATTTTTACAGTAAGTAAACATGACTTAAATAACACTCGTATAAAAAATACCGAAAAAAGAGTCGTTTCCGTAATCTGGAAAAAAATCCCGCTTTTATACGGGTTACTGAAGGCACCACTAAAGTGCTTCGATTGCAATGCTATCTAAATTGATCGATGCAGAAAAACATCACTGATTCCGAATTTGTATGTAACGCAATATGCCCAATTTGGCGGTTAAGTAATTTTGCCTTTCCAGTGGCGATATGTTTATGTGCAATAACCCTTATCCTAAAAAAAGTATACATAGAGATCTTTGAGTAGTATACATATGAGTGTTTGAGTATTATGCATAGAAGTTTTTGTGGAGTATGCATAGAAACCTTTGAGTAGTATACGTAAAAGTTGAGTGTGGTGCAGGTCGGCTGCTGTCGGAGCCCGGGCTGGGCGGCGAGGTGCGGTGCTGCGCGCTGCGCTGCCTAGCGGCCGCGGCGCTGCGCGACGACGTGTCGCTGCTGCTGCACCAGGACCGCCGCCACCACGCGCTGCTTGCCTACGCGCACCGCGTGGACGAGCTGCCGGCGCCCGAGCAGCACGCGCTCGCACTCTTCGTGAGTCTCTTTCACTTTACCCGGTTTATCACTAGGTACTCCTTTGCAAAAACTTGTGGCAGCTCAACATCGATATATAAAAAGTGTACATTTTGCAGCCGATATACTGCAAAGGAATTACGCATGAATGTCCAATTAATGACAAAGATTTACTAATAGAACAATCATGTGAATGAACGTTCGCAGTACCTACTCCGCGCCATTCACCATAGAGATCTATAAATCGACTATTACACATGTCAAAGCTGTGCTTACAGCTCGTGCCGCTATATTTATACGTATGTCTCTGTACTCTTCTTATAGATGATTATTATTCGCAAAATATAATACGATGCATACATTTTATCCCAACATCACTATTAAAATAATTATCGAATTTACCCTTTGATAAATATATTTTCTAAAAGCTAATGAATCTAACTTAGAGTCATATATTATAACCTGACTTCTCCTGACTAGGTTACTGGAAGATTTACGGAATATAAAACACAATAGGAAGCCAAAAAGTACGAAAGTACCAAAGGCATGTGTATTTTTTCTTTATTGCATAGAAACGAAAATAAACATGGGCAATATATCAAATTACATTTATTACAACTAATATTTAACCTTATTTCGTTATTCTAAGGTTCATCTGTTAAAATATTTTGAATAAAAATTACTAGTGTTGTGACTACGCCGATATTAAAATTATCGATAAAACGTTATTTCAGTTTTGCTTATTTACTAACATATTAATAAAAATGTGCAAATACTAGATGTCCATAAAAATATAAGAAATTATTTGGTGACATCCTATGAATGAACATTTTTGTTAGGGTTGCTAAAGCAGAGAAGTAAGGAAATAGTTTAGTATTACTCATGGGTTTTGGAAAGATGCTGAAATTAAAATGATCTTAATATCGTGATCTAAATTAGTATTCAAATTTATTATCATCTAAAACTAGATATTAAAAAAATGTGTTATTTTTAGGACAATAAACAATTGCTTAAATATTTTTTTATTATTCTCCTTATTCCTCATTTCAGAAATTATAAATTAGCTTACTGTTAATAAATTTTCATCAAAGACAAATGTATGACGGCTGTATGAATTACGGGGATGTACGTAGTACATCATTGCAATTTCCATTGAATATTGTTATTTTACTCATTTTATCATATATCGATTAGCTTGGCAAAGTCGTCGTTACGTATATTATTATTGTGCCTATAATAGTGTGAATTTATTATTGCGATATCTGGCGCCACGTTGCAAATATTTTTCGTCAATGTTAGAAGCTTTTTAAATTAGGACAAGTGATGATATGTTTTAGTAAGAATTTATGTTGCATTTTCAAATAATTGCGGTATAACTGCGACATCTAACGTTAAGAAGCTAAATTTGCTTATTAATTCTAGAAACTTCGTTGATGAAAAGGAATATGATATCTATTTTTGAGAAATTATTTCTCGTACTCAAACGAATGGTGGCTAACATAAAGCCTTTCTCTTTTATCTTTTAATAACTTATCACACGAAAACTATTGAAATCGGTTCACATTTCTTTCATGACAATATGTGAGTTTGGCGACAGTTGTTTTAGTACAAATAATTCGTTTTGCTACTTTCTCTTGGTTTTTTATTCCGTGAGGAGATTGATGACTAGGAGAGACGGTGCATTTATTTCACCTACTGCCTCTAAACGTACGCATAGGTATAGCTGACGTCTGGTACATCTTATAATTTTATTATCATGTTTCTACTTGCTATACGAGTCTACTATGTGAGTGAAAAAAGAAATTTTAAGGCACTCACAGTGAATTTGTCATATTAAAAAATGTATAAAGGTCATAAAAAGTATGTATTTAATAAAACAAAGAAACTCGTAAAAAAAACTGGAATTAGCTTGATAAAAGATCTGTATATCAATTACTTGCGCTAATTGTAAAGTATTTTTGACAATTATAAAAGTATAACGTATAATATGATATTTGTCTAGAATGAACTATGAGAGAGATAGATATTATACATACCTATAACGTGTGGTTCCGCTACGCAGATGTGCAACCTTTTCGAGCACACGTCGTCGGCTGAATGGCTGCTGTACATCAGCGAGTGGGAGGCCAACGGTCTTCGGCTCTCCAACATCCGCGTCACCACCAAGGTGACATACATACATACATTTATTTTGGTTTATGCCGGGGCGGTGTAAGAATATCCACTGCCGCGTATAATCCCCCCGTGGGTGTCGTAAGAGGCGATAGAGGAAATCAAACCAGGATATGGACAGGAACGTCTTTCTAATAACGACTAAATATAAAAAACTACAGTTGCCGTCCTGCTCGCCAAGCGCGGCGACTGTGGAGACAACGCCCTCTATGAGGCAATCTGTGGGGACTATCAGTAGGCTGCAACGGTAACGGTATGTTCGTTTTAACTGATGTGGTTTTTTGTCATAAGACGTTCCTACACATTAGAATTTTCTCTTTTATCGTGGTAGCTTCATACATAAATTGCTAAACAAAAAACATCCAAACCCCAGGTGTGCTGTTATGTAAAAATATTTTTTTATAAGATAGGATGTCAAACGAGCACACAGTCCACCTGATGGTAAGTGGTAACACAGCAGCGTTAAGCTACTATTTCACGCTGGTACTTTGTGAGAGCGTGGTCCTTCCGCGGTCGAGCCGACCCAAATATAAATAATGTACGAAAAAGAAGTGATTGTAGTTGCAGCACGAATAGATTGTCTAGACTGGGAAGGAGCGCGCACGACGCACGACTCTCACAGAATTACCAACCAACGAACCCTAATGCCAGCGTGAAATATACTGCGTATAACGAGTGTAGAGTTTCGGAAACTTTTTTTTCCTGGAACCGGAACATTCCATTTTAATCATCTGCGGTAACAAACGCATATGCATTTTGATTCTTAATCGAGGATAAATGTAGATGCCCATGGGCTACAGCATCCACTTGCCATCAGGTGGACTGTGTGCTCGTTTGTTAGTGGGTGTAAAGTGGACCTAATCCAGAAGGACTCTCATGTCGTGTGTGTATCCTAACAAAAAGTCCTATTTGACGGTTCAATGAATCTTAAATAATACTATGTGTCAGCAAAATTGACATAAGAAAAAGTCAATAAATGGTTTAAAAAAATTTGGTTTAAATTCTTCTTTATATTACACGACTAAGTATTTTGTATCGTTGGCAGTGAATAGATAGGACTAATTGCGAATTCACATACGATATGTAGGAAAGGAGTTCCATCACCTAGTAAAGTGGTGTAACAATAAAGAAGTAAAGTGACAGCCTATATTTGTTACGCTGCTGGTCACAGGCCTCCTGTGATTTTTCAGATGTTTTTGTTACAATAAACTGTCCGTTGTTTTTCTACCATGCGTAGTAGCGGACTTCTCATGTCTTCGATTGATTCTTCTTTAATTTTTCAAACGTGCAAATTTTTCGAACGGGCGATATTTTTTCATTGAAGATGTGGTAAATCGGCACTTAAAATAACAACTAATAATTTTATTGGTGCCGTCAGATATTGACCCCGGTACCTCGCGTACTTTGAAATTTGCTGTGCTACAACTCGTTACTCGAAATTCTAGTGGTAACCGTTATTGCGCATAATTGGCCGTATTACGCATTATTGTGTATGATGGGTGTGCGTATCGTTTGCACGCGCTGATTGGCTCTCCAGTGGCATTCCCCTCCACGTTTCGTTCATCGCTAGAGTTACGTGCCGCGAGTTGTAAGAAGTTTAAGCATCGGTTGTATGTTATTATAAATAATAGTATTATTGAAACAAAAGATCGCGTGTATGTATAACCGAATTCCGGTCACATCGGCCAGTCTCCTTGTTATTAGCTATCTGCGCAGAACGAGATTATATTGCCCAAGCGTGTGCGGGCAAGCACAGGTGCACTATCCATTCCCACAATCTTATAATCCAATGGGGCGGTCATCTGACACATCTGACGACATGCTGTTGGAGACACGACGGTGAAACAGCACCAACTTTCTGACTCCGAGAATTCCGTGACAGAAAAATTCTATAGCTATGGCGCTGATTATCACTTAATTCGCGCTATACAAGCGATTTTTCTATACCATAATATTGTTGTTTTCTAAAGTATAGTAAGTTCTTTTTACAGAATCAACAGTGTTGTACAACAATTAGTGTTTTAATTTAGTTGGTAATTTCTCGGAAGAAAGTGGTCCTTCGAGCCGGATAAGTGAGTGCATTGTGGGAAGTGTTAACGGAAGTAGGACGTAGTGCAGTGTACTAGTAAAGTGTTGTGTAGTGACTAATGACAAACTTACGGATTTCAGTATTGTGGATTGGACCTCGGTAACCGTGAGTAATAGAATAAGTAGCATGGACTTGTATTACATTTCGCGAGTGTAAACACATAGAAGAATTTCGGATGAACATTGGACTTAGAAAATTCGCTAGTGAAAACAAAAACACTTAGTAAAAATTCAATTCGTTTTGTAGAAACATTGGACTTAGAAAATTCACGAGCGAAATAAATTTGATAAAAAATTTCGATTCATTTTGTATGGACACAGGACTAAGATAATTTGCAAGTGAAATTGACTTTAACTCTAAATGCTAATAAAACACTTAAAATATTTTCTGACAAGAAATCTGTACTCTAAATAAATATCAGTGAAAGCAACTTCTAGTTGAACTTTGATCGAAATTTATATCAATTCATAACCTCAAAATGGAACAAATAAATAAATCGTTAAACCTACAAAATGAAAGACTAGACGAAATTAGAAAAGCTCAAGTAAACTATGAGATATCTCCAAAGTCCAGGATTAATTTAGCATACTTGCAGATGCGTTTAGAAATATTGGAGTTGAAATGGAATTTATTCAAAACCACCCGTGAATACCTTGTGCAAGAAACACCTATAGAATCAAGAAGTGCCTTAAGCCATTTTAACGATGATTTGTATGAGACCTGTGAGAAAATTTACATCAATTACAAAAGTGGTTTAAAAACAAAAATGTCCGAAATATCGCCCGTTACGCCTACTACTGCCTTACCCGAAAACAAAAAAACAACGCCCGAGTTAAAGTTGTCGACAATTAACATACCACAATTCTCTGGAAAATACACCGAGTGGCCATCGTTTCATGATTTATTCAATTCCATCATACATACTAATCAATGAATAGATAACGTTCAGGAGCTCCACAAAATTTAAAATCGAATTGGTCTGGTGAAGCGGAACAGCTGCTGCGTACGATAACAGTTACAAGTCAAAGTTATAAGGACGCGTGGGTAATGCTAAAACATAGATGCAACAATAAAAGATATATTTCAAACAGCATTTTAAAAAAAATTTAGTATCAAAAATATAACAACAGAGTCCGCTTATCAAATTAAATACTTGCTTGATACAACTGTTGTATCTAAATGACCCGACTTGGGAGCTCATGATTGACTTGTCCCCAAACGGGTTCCCGCCTTGTCGTGGCTTAGTAGCCGTGGCTTGGTCAACTACGGTGAACAAGGGCTTGGCGAGTTCACTTCGAATGTGTGTCGAAGGGCTACGGCGAGAGGGCTGTTCTCTCCCCCTGCCGCTGCAGCCGGGGCGAAGTAGCGAAAGCAGAGGAGTGTTGGTGTGGCGTAAGAAAAGATATGACTGGCAATCCTGTTTTCCGAACACTAGACCAATGAGCTAGTGTGTGTAGTTGACTGCCTCTTTGGTCTAATAGTCGTCAATGTTACTGATGATTTTAAGGTGCGAATTCCTGGTCGGGTCAAGGCTGAAGTCAGGAAGTTGTCTGTTTTTCACTCGTGCCTCAGAAACTTAGAGCATTCAACTCAATGGACGAAGAATGCGCCTAATGCTACGAACAAAAATCTGTCACTTTTGGTGCGGGGCAAAGAAACACTACATAGACAATACTGCACACCTACTCAATTAAATTTTGTGTCATAATGGCACACACAAATCTAAATCTCCAACACTATTACATTTTACGCACACGTATAGGTTAAATACATCAGGTTAAAGACAAATTAATTGCGATGCATCCATCGATATGGACGCATCGTAATTAATTTGTCTTTAACCTATTTTATATCGATAGTTTCCCTAATAAAAAGAGAAAAACTCACAAGCATTAGCAAAATGCACCCAAACAATTAAAATCATCTCTTTGGTTGGTCAGAGTAGCAGTTTTTTTTTTTTGGGTTCCGTAGTAACACAACAAGGAACGCTTGTAGTTTCCCCAAGTCTGTCAGTCTGTCCGTTTGTCCACGGCTTAGTGCAGAGACTATTGGTACTGGAACTGTAAATTGGTATGGTTAATCACGAATACCAGAAATAAAAAGGTTCTAAGTAACAAAAACAAAAAGTGGAGGAACTTATGTGTTAAATTAATAAGTCAATCATCTCAAAAAAAAAATAACATATACATTAATATTATTACAATAAAATGCTTTTATGAAATAAAAACAAAGTCTTAACTTATTCATTAGTACGGTAAATATAAAAGAATAAAATTAAAAAAAATATATTCATTTTAGGCTGTAGTTAGTGATTGTACAACATTGTCTAATTTAAAACGGTACTCCAAGAAAAAAGTTATAAGTTTGCTAGAAATACTTACTAGATTCGCTAATAAAGACATCTTTGATAGATAAAGATAAAAATAGGTCCTAAAAAGATAGGAATTGAGGAAAGCGTACTTTTGAAGAGACTATTAATTGTAACTTAAAGTAACATTGGAAAATTGCCCAGAACTAAATATTCCCCAGAGTTAAGATGTTTCGCCCTAACACTTAATTAATACTCACCAAAAGCATTTCACTATGTACGTAAAAGTTTTGGAACATGTTTGCCTGCACCGTGGACGTTGACTAAGTGACGCAATACACTGATGTACATAATCTTGTCCTGTGCAGATGGCTTGTTGAGATTGGGCGCCGTGATACACTCACGGCGCGGAGGTCAATACTACACTACTAAACTTCTACATACACACGTACTTTTATTTAAATAATCGTGTAATTTAAGATTACGTATAACCAACGGTTACAGGTTTTGGCACAGCTTGGCTTACCGCAAATTTAAATCGCGAGTAACTGGAGGTTAATCCCCGACGGCATCAATGAAATTACTATTTCTAATTTTTAGTGCTGATTTGCCACATCTTCGACATTAAAGAAATATCGTAAGGAAACTTGTTCATTTAAAATAAAATAAAAAAAGGCAATCGAAGACATGAGAAGTCTGCTAGGTAGTGAGGTTGTGCAGCAATGCAGTGCGACAGTAATGCGTGTATGTGCGTTCGTGTGCAGGTGTGCGTGCACTGCGCGCTGAGCGAGCAGGCGCGGCTGCGCGACGCGGGCACCGCGCTGCTGTACAACGTGGCCACGCGGGAGGTAAAGACCGTGGTCGGTATCGCTCCAGCGTCGCATTCGCACTGCACCCGCACCGCACATGCACCCACGTTACATTCGCTAACACAACTAACTGATTTATGTTCACCTAACACTACACATTTAAACGAAGCATATTTTACAGATTTTATCACGTATATTAACTTATTTTATATTTACCATGTAGTTGAAAATGTCGTAAAAGACGACAGTGAGAAACAAATTAGGAGATGAGCAACAACGACTTTCTAATACCAACTAAAAATAAAAATAAACTGCAGTTACAAAGCCCACTCGACAAGCGTGGCAACAATGGCAGATATCCTTCCTGTAATGCAATCTATAAGAGAAGCCTATGTTCATTGGTGGATTTCAGAAATCTGTAACGGTTATATTCCCGACGTTTCAAGTACTTTACAGCACCCGTGGTCACGGGGGTGGGGACTGAGGTCTTCGACATACAAACGTGAAAAATATAAAATATGTTAATATACACGATAAAATTGATAAAATTTAGTTTCTCTACACTAGCTGTTAATGCACTCTAAACAATTAACTGCTCCAATGTTGCGCTATCTGATGCTTTGTAAAAATTTTAACATAATGAAATCAAATTACAAAAAGTATGCACACTGTTATGCGTTTGAGTAAGATAACACTGCAACTTCTTTCATATATAATACAGCCACATAAAATACATCTAGCAGCTATCAAAAGCTTTTGAATTTGTGATCTCTATATTTCTTTCATATTTCAAACATAAATTAAAATTATACATTACGAGCGTCGACTTATGCAATTTAAATGTGCTTTCCACAACGTTTTCTTGGACCACTTTTATTCTTAACTTTCTAGATTAATCATCGTATGAACATTTCTAAAATTATTTAAAATTATTTGGCACAATGTATCAGACATAGTTAAGCTTAACCCGCAAAACCATTAGAAATACAGCTAAAATCAAATAAGCCTAAATTGAACATGTTTTCACTGGAATCACCCGAGTGGATCTTCAATGCTCTCTTTTCTTATTAATTTGTTTTTAGCACAAACTTCTACATAAAATAAATTATTAAGGTATTTTGTTATTAAATGATAACATTGATGTACCCGGGTAATACTGTATAGATACGGATTAAGATCAAAGTTGTGTTTATATTTCTGCTCATTATGCTAGATTACATTAAATTAAAATAAATGTTATACATCTGAGGATTACTATATCATGTTTATTTGTCGGTAGTTTTAAGTTCAAGAAAGGTTTGTGTCAAACCTTGACTCGTTAAATGTCACTGTGGTATTTCTTAAACTGTAGTTTATTAAGTTCTTGTCAAGGTTAGGGTAAATTTTGTTCATAAAATATTTCATTTCAAGGTTGGCCACAATAATATTTATATTAAAGTTTATGTATGTTTGACAACTCAACCGATTTTAACGAAACTGTGTAGATGCGGATTGCTTACTTGAATTTGAGAGGTAGGATAGTTTTTATTCCGATAAGTGAGCCTCAATATCTTTTATTATGAATTTAAGGTTTTTTATATGACAAAGGGTCGTCGTAAATGTCAGAATAACGCCTGGCCAGCTATTTTAAATGTATATTTATAAACGACCGACAAATATAGTTTTAACTTATACTAAATTAATTGCGTCCATTTCATTATGGTAGTCCCATGTAGTGCTTTTGCATTTATAAAGGACTTGGGCGTCTTCAACAAAACCATTCCCGCTGCCAGCATGGCCCACAATCCATCTCAAGCCACCATCATCATCCAAGCTTGCATCCGTTGCATTTGCCAGCACTTTGAAACTGTGTAGTGGCTGTGTGGTGTGTCCGCGTCTCATCCAAATATATGACATTTTCACGCAATCTCCGCAAGTAACGTGCTCTCCATGCTGCTGTTTCTGGTTTCTGAATAAGATATTGTCTTATACTTTTACATTTTCTAAACTTATATCCAAGTTTTGTTATTATAATTTTCCAAAGAGTGACTTTTTGTCCAGGAAAATTGAAATCTTTTTTGCTTCTGCTAGTATCTTGCGCAGCGTTGAAACATCCTTTTTAACAGTATAAAAATGGTCAATTTTGTTTCGGATCGAACACACCATCAAATCATCTATTTTCAACTTCTTTTTGTAAACTTTTTTTAAGGTGTCAATTTTATTTCTTGTGTACTTGAAGTACTGCGCTCAGGCGGACTATTTTTAATTATTTTGCTCCTGTTTTTATATTTCTTAAAGTACATTCAGATATACCAGTAGCAGTCGCAGTTCTCTTGATAACATTATCAAAGGATTTTAATAATGCATATCTAAAGGATTTTAATAATGAAGTAGCTTCTCTTTATTCTTCAACAACTTAATTTCTACTTTCTTTCTTTTACGTTTATGTGCATCGGGGTGAGTGGGAAGTGTGCTTGCACAAGTATCAAATAAATTTGCATTTTTTAATCTGGCAATACTTTTCATAGCTATGGCATCTTGAACATCATAAGGCGTTATCAACTGCTTTTCAATCTTTTCTTGTTCAAGGAATCTTATTATCTTATATAACACATTTCGTTCGCCACTGTGTAACGGCATTCTTGGAATTCTTTGTAGTGGCGATCATTCGTTATATATATATATATATATATATATATATATATATATATATATATATATATATATATTTTACTTTTTTTTTTTTTATTTATATTTATATATGTTTATTATACGGCATAGATAAGTCACTCTGACAAATTATTAGGTAACGAAACGAAGAAAGTTTCTTCAGCACTGTCATAGATGGCGTTGGGATTATAAATTACCGAAAAATTCACTAATTGGCGCTATCAACTTGGTTCGGTATCTTTTTCTACATTATAATAAAATTAAAGAAATGTTTTTAAGTAGAAACTAATTTGCTTTACTTATATAACTTTTCATTTAGCCTCTAAAAAATAACCATGGTTTGAATTGTTATGTTTATACTTTTAGTTTTTCTTTACTGGATAACTATTTTTACCGTATAGAAAAAAATAGAGTGTAACAGATGAACGGAGTATAAGCCTATGACACTAATAATTTTATAAAAAAATAAAATTTTAATTAAATAAATCAATTAAAATCTGTCTAAATTCAAATCATATCCACCTCACTTTACGAACGGCAATAAAACAGTTTTGGCAATAAAACTCTCATTTCGTTTACCTGTAGTTAGCTAAGGCGTGACTTCGCGTCGCCGTCGTATTGTCTTTCTCTTTCATTATTTTTTTGCTATTTACAAACAAGCGACACGCGACGTTATTATTGATGAAAGAGTGGCAGTGAGAAGTGCTGCTGTTTTAAATCTGTTTCTTTTATCGACCAAGTATTTTATTAATAACCAGTATATGCTGATCTTGCATTAGTAGGCAGTAACTAGTACCGGAAGGTCTACTTACACTGCAGGGTTTAAAATCATTCACATTATATGCGAAAAAACAACGACCAAGCAACGGCTTTACGTGCTTTCCAAAGCACGAGGGTGAGACACCGCCAACTTTTTGACTCCGGGCAGCTATTGAGAATTTCTTAACGGAAAAACTCAATAAATTGATTTTTTGTCCCGACCCGGGATTCGAACCCAGGACCTCATTATCAGCTATCACACTATACTGGACCAAAAAGTCAGTCAAAATCAAAAATAAATATAAAAAGTACCTAAATACCTATAAGAGAAAAATAATTTTTGGTTACGTAAAGCGTGATCAACTGCTTAGAAAAATGTTGGCTGCAACGATGTGACGGCCGCTCCCCTCCCACTCGGCCGCCTGGCGCTGACATATTGAAAGATGTGCATGCATCTCGCTCGCTCTTACAAGATTCATTCACTAGCCACCGTAGCCTGTTTTTAGTTTTACGCAAACGCCGTAGGATGAATTGTTTTTATGTATTTTTTTTGGCTCTTCGGAAATTATGCCTATCTAGTTATATTTTATTATATTTTATAAATACTTTCGAGGATAGTTTCTATTCTACTTATACAAAGCACCATATTATTTTAACTAGTCGCTCAGTATACAATATGTAACGTAATTAACGCACACCCTCAGACACCCCAATTAGTATATTATGTTATAATCATAATACATACACTGAATCTTTAGTTAAACATTTTTATGCACTGATTATTTATCAAATTAGTTATACTAAGTCCGGAAGAATTTTGTGGCCACAGTACAAATCCACGAATGCAAAGACTTTAACGTGCTTGAAGTATAGTTTATTTTTCTTTATTTTTATTGAATGACAGAATTAGTAATACAATTCAGAAGAATTAAGAATACAAATAAAACTGCACTCTTAAAAGTTTTATTGTCTTAAGCTACGGTCCATTTCAGTTTGTTTTGACTGTACAGATGTAGTGTGACTGTAATTTACGTAGTTTTAATTATTTTTGGGATAAAAAATTACCTATATTAAAAATGATAAGAATCGATTCAGTAAACGATTCTGAACAAACTACTTTCTCAAAGTGCGTTAATTATGTTACATGTTGTATATATACCGCAGTATTACAAAACTTTGATAGCGTGATAAAAGGTGTGGCGCCATCTTTTGAATAAAAATACTAGGAAAAATAGTGCTTTTAATTACTGTGAGATGGAGCTAAGTATTAACGTAAAAGCAAGCCACTTAGGCCTTTATACTCCTGGTGGCGACTGTGAGACAGGCCAGACTTACGACCCGCGACAAAAGGCGGTGTAACTATCTGTACACGTCACATGTAAAAACCAAGACTTGCAACCAACCATCCAACTAAACATTCGTAATGCGTATTCACATCATTCGTACTGCGGCAAAATGGAGTGGAATAAATTGCTGGCGTGCCTGTCTTTCTGTCCGACTCCAATCTGGGCATCATCTACCTTCACCGTCGTTGTTTGCGTTGAAAGCGTTGCTTACTTTTGATTACAAGTGACAGGTCTGATTAAAAATAAAATTTAATTTGTTAAGAAAACAGCGATTACGTTGTCGCTGCTTCTTTTCAT